TCAAACTGAAAAAAAACACCAGAAGGCTAACCTGCAATATGTTATTCCTCAGTGCTAAAACTGAAGTGTGGAACGAAAATACTGAAGCGTAAGCATAACTCGTTGTAGGTGTGAGCAGCGATGGGAACCGTGTCAATGTCGGTAATCGTGAGACAGATCTCACTAAGTTCGCTAACATCTGAAGTTGCATATCTTCAAGTTTATGCTGACATCTGCTTCTTGATTTGTTATGAAAACAATCAAAAATGATACCTAGAGCGGAAAATCTAATCTTGTTACGTAGTCGTAAGAACTAAATTCAAAAAAAGCAAACTCCGCCCACGGCCTCAAAACCTCGGCGGATGTTAACCGCTAGTCCCGCCCCGTTAGATAAGCTCCACCCCTCAGTGACAAACTCCGCCCACAAATTGCCCAGACTGGCACAAGAGGATTTCTCCAAGTCTGTGCAGTTCTGCTCAAATGAGCAGACTTGATGCAAAAGGGATGAGCGTCCTGCCTGGATTGTATACTGCATTCATAGAAATAGATGCAAAAGAACTTGCAAGACATATAAATGTGTAAAAATTTCTCACCATGTTAGACTTAATGAAAAAAAATGATGTTGTCAGTGTCTCAATACAAATTCAGTATTGCTTTTGGTGCTTCAACACAATTGAAAATATCGAACTTCCAAGATAACAAATTTTTTATATCCTATTAAAACAACTTATCAAAAATGTACAACATGCATACACAACAAATTGAGCACATAATCAGTTAGTATCAGCTTCTTGTATTTCTAAATCTGGTGATTGGTCCTGGGCTCTTTTATCAACTATGACTTTTCGTTCTTGAACATAGAGCCGCCATGAGCAATATTTCGTCTGCGCAAGAAACATCGACGCTTCAGGAAAAGTTGGGAATGAATCCAGAAATTGACCTGAACGCTATCGAATAAGAAGCAAAAACGGCTCAATACAATACAATGTATAAATACAATAACAAATATTTCTATTACCAGCTGGCATTTTCCTCTTCAGGAATGTCATGGCATCTGCAAAAGCTTTCGCTGCTGCACTAGACCTACATACAGTCATGCTCGAGTACGGATCCACGAGCAGTAAGCGAACTTCTCCAGAAACTTGCCGTCTAAAAGTCACAATTCACAGTACTTACAAAAAAAAAACGCAAAATATTACCTTCTCGAGGCTAAGCCCTTTTCAATATAAATCACATGTTGTGAGGTATCAAAACTCGAGTAATAGTCTACAAATCTAACAGCTAATTCGGCAGTGCTCATATGATTATGTGACTTATACTCTGCAAACGAGAATATCTACGAAATTCCAAGTTGTTGAATCAGAAAAACTCACCAATCGAGACCTGAGGTAAATCCAGTAAAGACACAACATCATCAATGGGGATATGTGCACCAACGAGGCTACTATGCGTTTTACATAAAACAGGCATTACTGGCCAAGGTGTAAGGGCCTAGAATAGATAGTTAAAACACATTAAAATATCAAGTCTACGAGTTAATTACTCTCGGGACTTGATCC